AAGTATAAAAAAAAAAACATGGAAACGGCGAATTACTATAGATTGAAAATAATTATTAAACTATGATTGAAATTATCGACGTAGAATACTATTTCGTTGTATTAAATTTCAATAGTATAATGAGAATTTTGTTTGATATTTTAATATATTTCATGTTATTTACAAAATGTACTGTAGTTTTGAAGTTTTGCACACAATATAGTATATATTGAGCATATATAAAAAATTGAGTATTTTGATAGCGTAGCCAGGCTTCACGATATAAATATCAAAAACGACTGATAAATAATCATTCATTTATTTTATGATTAATATGCTCCAGAATGATTAATATGCTCCAACTGCTCTAGAATCACAACAAATAACAGAATATAAGGAAAATTAAAACCAGCAAAGCTTTATCTACCTTGATCTATTTTTAAAGGCGCTCAATTTATGTAAATTTTCCGCGAACACTCAAACATTTTTCTCTGCCTTTCCTCGAGCATGAGTGATGAAATGTCGGTATTCGTCGGAAAAACTCGGTATTTGTCGTATTTTACGAATTTCTACGTGACCGGTACGCTCACCGCCGCTCACCGCGACACGAAATTTAGAGCTATATGAAAGTTGCATGCCATATATGGCATGCAACAAAAAATTAGTTAGGCCAGCAATTTGGCCCGCGGCCCGCAATTGTTTTAACCCGCAGCCCGCAAAAACTGACCCGCAGCCCGCAAAAACTGACCCGCAGCCCGCAAAATAGCTAGACCCCGTTAACCTAACCCAAAAGAAAATGGGAAAATATTTTGTGTTTAGCCGGAAACACATCCCCGCCCTGCTCGCCAAAAATTTTGGGAAAAGAAATATTAAGTATACTCTAGTAACACTGGACCAATAAGATATGACCCTAAGAACTGACAAAGCTAACTAAACCAAACTAAACTGATATTATTTATACTCTCGATAGCTCCATCAGTTCTTCTTAGATGTCATTGAGCTCTATAATTCATTTTTTTTTCATAGGCAGAGCTTCAAAGCCGTTTTCCACAAAGCGGAATTTTCCATGCGGAGCGGAATTTCTCTTTGTCTTGTGATTTCTCGTGTGGAACTAATTAGAGAAAGAGAAATTCCGCTCCGCGCGGAAAATTCCGCCTAGTGGAAAACGGCCTCCAGTCTTTCGGCCTGTGAGAAAAGTGAAGGTGGTAAACAGATCGCATAACCAGACAACTCCATATTTCAGAAATTGAATCGCAGAGGTGGAAACACGTGGCATGTTAACCTGTGTGCAGTCTCATGACATCATTGCAAACGATGTCAGAGACTGCGCAACAAGTAAAACTTGCTCCGCGGAAAGAATGCGGAAGTGAAATTATTTAGGGATTGTGCGCAGGCGATCATGATAACACTGATACATTCTACAAGGGCATTTGCCACTGTAATGATCAACTACTCCAAAGACAAAATTAATCATGTATGATTTTTTAGATTTTCCACTGCAATTACACATATTCACTGGTACAGAACCAGAGGCAGGGACAGATGCCAACGTCTACATCAAATTATCTGGGTCCATGGGAACATCACGGAGGATCTCACTCGCACCAGAGAATGCCAACCAGAACCCTTTCGAGGCTGGACAGTAAGTTCACACGAACACTCTGGGAAGTTGTAATTCGAAGAAGTATGGTTTAAAAAACTGCCCCGAATTATTTTCTGTTTCTAGGAAAGATGTGTTCAATGTACACACTATTCCCTTGGGAACAATTTCAGGAATTACAATTGGTCAAGACGACACAGGAGAGAAACCCGCGGACTGGTTCCTAAAGAAGGTTCGTCTTCTGTTCATACTAAATCGATGATCTGGCTCAAGGGCCATATATCAATAGGGTTAATACACACGCTGATCGATGTCACCGAAAAAAGGGTTAAGTAAACAAAATTTTCAGTGAGTAAACGTTTGGGTAAATGAAAAACAACTCAAGGGTTGGGTAATAGAAATTGTATTATTGTCATTTCCAAAGCATGACTCACTCAAATATTGAAGACTAGAAAGCAATGTCAACAATCATATATCAATACAATATGTAAATCAATCAGTCAAGATAGTGATCTTGATCATTTTCCGACTTGTCAGGAGGCAAATGGTGTCTCTAAAGAAAATACATGTGCAGACAACATGAACCTTTAGACTGAAGAAAATTGAACAAGTAGTTATCAAATTTGTGTCACAGAAGTGGTGAATGACACGTGTGACAATGGTACTCTTTTGTAACGTTTTTGGCCAGGGGTGGGTATTTATTTCTTAATTTATACTTGAGGTTGGGTTAATGGTTGGATCTTTTACCAAGAAAAACATTTTGGTGCCACACCCAGCCATAAATAATAACCGGTCTCTAATTTAAAGCTCTAATATAGTAATGCAAAGTCCCACGATACAACAAATCGTCGTTTCCATTGAATCTATTCAACTTTAGGTTGTAGTGAAAGATGCAGCGAACACGATGTATAAATTTGACGTCAACCGTTGGCTCGCCAAAGATAAGGATGACGGACAGACTGAAAGAGAACTAAGCTTAAGTAAGTCATCATCGTTTACTTCGGAAGCTTGTGAGTCACGTTAGATGACAGCATTGTAATCACAAAGTGTAAGGGATGATTTATGCTACAGTATTTACTAGCGCGATTAGGTGTAACACAATCAACCCAAGTCTCTATTGTTTTATTAACCAGCTGCGACAATCGCACCAGGCTCCTACAAGCAGATTGGTTGTTTTAAAGAACGCACTGACGTCAACAAAGACAGAGCTATCCCATCGCTGGAAGGTCGAGACGATGTCTTAGATGGACTGGGACAGACTTCGTATCGGGGTAGAGAATTTCCTATCGAGAAATGTGCTGACGCTGCAAGACGGCGAGGTCACGTCATGTTTGCAATCCAAGATGGTGGACTTTGTGCGACCAGTAAAGAGATACAGAATACGTATGATGTTTATGGTGAAGGCGATGATTGCATGGTTAATGGGACTGGATCGGCGTTCTCGTCTACTGTATATACCTTTTCTGATGAAGGTTAGTTTTGGGACAACTCATGACGGGTTTTGAGGAAAAAACTGGGTCTAGTCACTGATCTCAAAAATGACCCCGAATTCATAATTCAAATGCTTGGTTACCTTCGTTCCACTCTATGCTTATATTAGTGGTAACTATTTTTATGAATTCATCCAACTGGCATAAATTTGCGTTAGCTTATTAGGATCGATTAAGGCAATCGAATGGCTGTCATTACTACATTGTAATTACATTTTATTGTATTTTATTGGTTGTATTCAGCAGCGTAGCCAGCCCGACAAATTAGTCCCGCTATGCAAATATTTTCGTGTTCATTGACTATGACAACAATGAATTTCTAAAGAAATGAATGATAATAATTTTGAATTTGCATAGCGGGACTAAATTGTCGGTATTGTATTGTGGTAGGCCGATTTACACTACACAACTTTTGCCTAAAACTGCCGCATGTAACCTGCTTACAACTTGAGTTGTACGTGTAAATAAAGCACACAACTCACCTACGACACAGATGATACCAGATGTATCATCACTCTATACCTATCCCTATGATTTTCGTGTCCGCGATTTTCGCGAGGCTATCACGCCAGATGACGCGTGCGACAGCGACACAATTTTGGCTGAGTGAGACATCTGGTATTATCTATCATCTGTGCCTACGATAACATTGGTGAGTTGTGTGCTTATTTTACACAGTACAATCAAGTTGTAAGCAGGTTGCGTGCGACAGTTTTAGGCGAAAATTGTGTAGTGTAAGTCGGTCTCAAGAGTTTAACAATATTGTTCCTAGAACCTGGTTTTCAAGATGCCGAGTCATCCGCTGGTGGAACTGAAGAAGGTACAGAAACATTGTACACAAACATGGTACAAAAAATTAACGCGAATTAAAATGTTTGTTACTTTAGGTACAGAAAACACACAAAATCAACCAGCTCTACCTAGCGACCCTGCAATGCAGCATGCTGGCCAGTTACCCTCGCCAACACAAGGCAACCCTACAAATTCTGGACCAGCTTCAGGCACAACCACATCTGGCGGTAAATCTAACACAGAAACTACTGGGAATCAAGGTAGCACAGCTGAAAGTACGAAAAGTGATCAAAGTGGAGTGGAAAATGTCCAAAATAATGGAGCAGCAGGTATTCTATTTCACGACAATTTCCAATCCGGGACGTACTTGGAGCGGAATGATTGAACATAAGTTATTTTCAGACCAGTCTGAATGAATATCGGAACAATATTGCTAAGGCAAGTTGGCAGGGTGGGTTAGGATAAAGAAAACACAGTTAGGAAAGTAATATCACAATTGTTGTAAAGATTACTAGTCTAAGCTGAGTAACATATAAGTAAGCGTAATACTTGATGTAATCGGCCACTGAAAAGCCCCAATGGGGAGTAATAATAATGTAATTTAATGTGATTATGTGAGTGCAGATACGTTTGACAACATCATCTTTATTTTAGGTCCGAAGTCGAAGCAAATAAATGGAGGTGAGGCAAGTTCAAGCAAAGACATCAATAAGATGGGTGGAAGAGTACCTGGAACTGGCGAGAATGGCTCAAGAAATAAAGCAGTTAATAACCTTACTGAAGAAAACGGACAGCAAAGCCTTAAAACTCCAGAATCTCTCAAAAGCACGCCTAGTGAAGGCAGTGAACAAACTACATCTACAAGGAAACCCGACTCAGAGGAAAACCGCCAAATGACAAGTGGAAACACAGAAGCGTATTCCACAAAGGGTAAACTCATTTCTGAGGGAAATCAAGAAAATACCAATGGAAACACAGACTTAACAAAACCTAACGAAAACTCTTCTGGTCAAACCAGTCAAACAAAACCCAATCAAAATGGCGAGAGAATCACAAACTATCCAGTCAGAACAGACACGAAACTTCAACAGCCAAAAATTCATCCTGGACGCGAGGATAACGAAATACCTAAGCTTGGGAACCAGTATAAGCTTGGGCAAGGTGGCGGATCGCCGGTAAAGGGTGAAGCGTCGGTAGAGGCAAAAACGCCGGTAGGGGAAGGATCGCCGGTAATAGAGGCACCGCTTCAGCCAAAGGTGCATAAGATAGCACCTGAAACTAGACTTCCCGGGGAATTTACCTCCCAGCCTGGTGAGGGACATAATATCATTCTAAAAGCCAAACAAGACATGATACGAAGGCCTTTTAGTAAACTGTTAGATACCCACCAAAGAAATGAGATTCGGCATTTAGCTAAGCCGAAGAACTGAAATAGATAAAACAATTTTTAATAAATATGAATATATAATCTTAATATAATGTCATATATTAATCAACATTATCACCAATCATGGTCTCTCCTTAGCGGACTGACTAGGAACATGCCGGGATTCGCGGCCTGATATCAACGCGCCGAGGGATGGCGTCTAGATCCCATTTTTCAGCCCATGCAAATTGTCTCTAAATCCAATTTCACAGCCTCCCCATTTTTTAGACCAAATCCCAGTTCCATTGTGAAATTGAAAGAAAATCCCAAAGCAAGTGGTTCATCTATGTGATGACTTTTCACTTTTTGTTCAACTGCTCTCTTTAGAACTGGTTTTAACGAAAAAAAGCTATGTGATCGTCTTACAATAGCAGTAAAATGACCTCATTGAGCCATAACTCGGTTAAATTCAAATTTCATCACAGCTTTTTGATCATCTGATGCAAAATGTTAGATTGTAATACAAAATGACTGAAAAACGGCAAACTTCGCAAGGCTATATTATCCGCATTTTACAACATTTCGCAACGAAACTTTGGAATATTACTAATTTTGTGATGCTCTTTCAAGCTGTGATGAAATTTTTGTCCAGACTTGTCCAGATCAAAAAAAGGGGAAAGGTCTATTGTCAACCACGGTTTCTTAAACAATGACGTAATGTACAGATCGAGAAAAGCAAGATGGCGGCCGTCGAGGAGTGAAGGTAATGTTCCAATGTTTTACTGTTAAAATTTGAAGTACGAACGATTTGGTGCACTATTTTGACGTTCAATAAGATTTCTTCAACATTTATGTATGCTTTTACAATAATAGCTTAAAATCTTTTCCAGGAAACTGCGTGTTATTAATCAGTGAATGTACAATTAATCAGTGAATGTGCAAGTGTAATCTAACAAAGGATTTAGAACTGTAGCGCGTTTATATTTGATTGCAGCAGAAGTTTCGATTTTTCAAAATTTACTACACTGAGACCACATGGAATATTTTGTGCGGTTCTTCCACATTGTTTTCCAAATTTCGTTCAATAAATTGAAAAATGTCCTTCGGAAATCTTAAAATCAATGGCATCGTACTGACGTACATCGTATTTCCATCTACAAATCCCGTTAACAATAAAAAGTTATACCCAGGGTTCGTACAGGTCAGGAAGAGTTAAATTCAAGGACTTTTCAAGGACATTCAAGGCCATGTATCAGCAAATTCAAGGACTAAATACTGAAGAAGGCGTTAGAAATCAGCAAAATCTGACGTTGAATTGTTCAAAACGTAACTTTATAATGAGGTCAGATATGAACATGCTAAATCAGTTCAACAAAATGTCCGTCTTGAATGTCAAACAATTTCAGAAAATATCCAAAAACTAAAGCAAGAAGAATTCAAGGACATTCAAGTACTTCTTTACAAATTCAAGGACATTCAAAGGTTTGAATTTTTGTTTTCAAATTCAAGGACATTCAAGGACTTTCAAGTTTTGTACGAACCCTGTATACCGAGTGAGTTGCCAAAAGTCCCGATAATCTCTATACAACCTCTGTGGTCCATCTGAGCGAACAGGCTATGCAATTAAGTACAGGCGATCTCAATATTTGCTTTGTTAACGGGTAAAAAGGAAGGTGGTCTGTAAGCAAATTAACCGATCAATCAAGCGTAAAGATTAATGAATTAAAAAAAAAAAAGAAAAAAAAAAGTTTAAAATGCTATCAATTGTTTTCAAATAGACGACCAGACATTTATGTTTAACAAATTTTTTATTAACATATTTAGTTTATCAATTAAATCCGATTCTTCAAGGCAGTTTTTCGTCACTCAACTTACATAAATCGAAGCTTAAATTTTCACTGTTGCCCAGCTGTTATAGAGCGTTTGCACCCAGGGAGCAACTCAACAAAAGCCATGGTGGCCATGTTGGAATCCATGTTGGTGTTCCAGACAAGAGAGTCTAATTAAAATTATTTTCAATTGAAACACCAACATGGCGGCTGTGACGTCATGTGCAAACGCTCTATTGCTGAGCGGGAATGAGTGGCGATGAAAGGTGGCAACTAACATTAACAGTAAATATACGTGCTAAATTAAACTACGCAGAAATGAAAATATAAACTCGTCGGATATGTGAGACGTAATGGAACGTAATGAAATAGATAAAGGAATTAAATCGTTCACAAGATTACTGACTTCTGGTTTAATTTTTCTTGTAATTTTCTTGGATAATTCAAGTAAGTTAGTAGCAGCATATGTTTTAAAATCACACAAGTTCATTTATAATAATTTCGCGGTTCAATTGCAGAACTACTAGGAATTAGGGTGATATGGTATCCTTATATGTGGAATAAAGGCAAGCATTTTAAAACATTTAGCCGGAGCAAATAAATTCGAGCAAATTAGCCTTTTGGGGTACTGCCTTTTCCAAATCTGAGATTCTACGCAGTGAATAAGGGGATTTGTAAACTATAATTGTGAGTATAATCACTATAAGTTAATTTACAGTTAAATATTTGAAAAAATGTTTTCACGTCGTTTTCAAAAATGTACTCCCAAAATGGCGAATTTGGCCTTCGTGAGGGGGGCTGATTGAGTACACCAAGGCAGTCAATATATGAAACTCAGCTACATGCTCATTCATGTGAATTATTGTTGTTTATAAACAACAGGTCTGTTACAAAGAATGACAAGATTTTCAGATAAATGTTTAGCGGTAAACTATGGACTTTCACTCAGAGACGAAGTGGAAGACGGGCCAGCTACGCTTTCTTAAAATTCCATGTTAGATTTAGAGAATGAGCACCTTAATAACCTGCACACATAATTTAGTGAAAGGTTCACGTTATGAAATTCGTTTCATGTAAAATTTCTATGTGCATTACTTACGCCAGTATTCTAAAAGCTCACTCACACTCAAAAGGTCCATACACACCGGACGCGATTCCACAACGCAACGCGATTTTTTAGTTTTTGAAAGTTAATAAAACAGCTAATACGAGCAAATTTTGAAAGATATGTAGACCAAATAACTCAAAATGTTATAGCGCTTCTAAATATTTGGAAAATTTAAACTAGGATCAAAGTTATCTGTCAGTTAAAATCGAAAAATCGCGTCGCGTTGTCGAATCGCGTCCGGTGTGTATGGACCTAAAGACTGGTCCCCAATCGTTGCTAATCTTGTTCTTCTTCTTCTTGTTAGGGGCTCTTTGAAAAAACCCTAAGGCTCCGTCATTACTTGTCCGATCGGAATGAAACTTTCCGCATCGATTTCATTTTTGACTTTAGAAGCAAGATACAAGCAATTTTTGACAGTATTCGTAGCAAATAATATATACATATCATTAATATTCAGCAAATATATCAGCAAACGCAAACGATAAGAAAGGCATTGTCTTGTCTATTGTTGTGAACACAATCACAATAGTCTAAAGCTTCTCAAGAATGTGAACGACTACTTATAGCCTAACGATTACTTATAACGATTACTTATAAGCGTTAAGTTGACTAATACTGGCTCAAAGCGCAGAGGAGTAATACTCCTATCTGGCTATCATATACTAATATTCATAGTCAGACAGAAAATCGCGAACCGTAAAAACAAATACATGTAAATTTGTTTTTAGCACAAGCATGCAGTTATGAAGCCATGACTAAGCGAGATGAAATTGCATTAACCTATAGCAACAATTCAGATAATTTGTCGTACAGTCGTAGCTGCAATAGAGACCTTACGATTTAGGACAGTAACGCGACAGCAACGGCTACCAATACAATAAATAATTGAAAAGAATTGAATAATTAGAGTATATGAATAATTTAGACATTGTCATCGCTCTGTTTACAACGCCAAATCACAGATTTTCACGTCTTGATACAACGGCTGCATTTCAAGTCGCAACAAGTGCAACTTCAACTGGGTTCACCAGAACTCTTTCCAAACATAAAACCCACGTCTTCAACTTCTAAGACTGTATTAAATTCATACGACTGATAATATACCACGAATTATCTTTACTACCTTTTGTTTGAAGAAGTTTGTTTTGGCCGTCGTCGTCGCGTTGCCGTCCTAAAATCGTAAGCGTCTCTATAATATTTTGCAATGGCGTACGCACAGCACGGCAAAAAACATGATGAAAAGTTAAATTTAGGCACGGCATGTTTATTGTAAATATTGTGGGACATTTAAAATTCGAGGAAATACTTTTGAAAACTGCGCATTTAGTTATCTATGCTTTGTCCAGATTTACATCCATTTATACACGGCACTAGACACATTTTGCCCGGATAAAGCCAGTATATCTTGCATGACCAAATTAAGGCAAAACATTTAGCGAACTCAGTCTACGCTGCCAACTTCGAGAATCATTAGTTTCACAAGTGTCTAGTTGTTTGTTTATCAAGTCAAAATCTCGAAGGTTTTGAACGTTTAACGATATATTTGCACAAGATCGAAACTGGGTCACGCAGTTCCCGGGTCCACTATAGTACGATCGTACCGCTTGTTGAATAGCTGAAGGATGAGTAGTCACATAGTAAGGTACGACATCAACCCTCCAGCTATTCAAAAACAACATTGACACTCAGGGGAAGCTCAGATTGAACCTCCACTCTTTGAGTGTGAGTGAGCTTTTAGAATACTGGCGTTAGTCTATACGTTCGCACGGGGCTGGATGAATTCGTTACCGTTCTCAAATTCGTCCGGTTCTGCATGTTCACAAGAAACCGCATTAATTACGAGACGAAAAGTGTTCACACGAAACTGGATGTATTGTAGTCCCGGAAGTATTTATGTGCGCGTGCGCAGATGGTCTCAGTCAGTCCCAATCCTCTTCCGTGCAAAATGGTCTTAAAAAAGGGGAAAGGTTATTTCGCTGACCTGAGAATGATATTTCGTCAAAAGGTTTTTCTTCAAGATTGGTTTAGAAACAAACTTGGAGTAGGGTTAGGTCAGAGTTGGTGTTTGGAATAGGGTTAGTATTAGTAAACCGTTGTTTTGTTACGTTTTGTCACTCTGAGGCCAGCGAAATAATCTCTTCCGTGAAAAAGACAGGTTCCGCGGTTCACATCATGGTGCCGTCTAATTTAGGAGCTATTCCGGTACAAAACGAAACCTAATTTTATTTGGTCTAGAATTCTTACAGTTAGCTGTACTGGAATGCGTCCCATGTGAACGCAAAGCGAAACCGGACGAATTTGAGTACGGTTCCGAATTCAACCACTTCAATAGTGTTAATAGGGTAGCGGGCTTATAATTTATGCAGCCTGTTAGGGACACGTGCATTATGCTCGAAATGTTCCCATTATTCTATTCCATAATTCCTTTGACTTTATCCGATTATTCTTAAAATGTTCTCCTATTATTCCCAAATTATTCCACATTCAGGCGAACCAAGGCCAGGAGAAAATAAGAACTTTATTGATATAACGGATGTGGAGCTGGAAATTTCGTCAAGATTTTCAATTTTATTTGAAATTTGCATTATGGATTAAAGAAACAAATAATGAATAACGTTATTAGTCCAAATGTTCTACGTACACGACGTATTCAGAGACGGTACACACATGCATGCACGCCGCTGGCCCGTGGGAGGATGGCGGATATGCTACACGGCTAAAAACGCACAGGTTGTTCCAAGTTGATATCGACAGGCGTGAACAATGTTGTGCGGCCAACTATGAACAAGTTGTCAACCATGTTGTTCCAAGTTGTTACAGTTGAACAATGCTGTAACAACATGTTGACAATACTGTTCATAGTGGGCCGCGCACAACCTTGTTCACGCCTGTTGATATCAACCTGGAACAAGTTGTTGATTTTCTCAATTTTTACGCGTGTAATTACGGAATTTACGTTGGCACGATGAAGTCATACCGACACGTTTCCTGATTATTCCCGCTTTTGCCTATTATTCCCGGTTTAAAAAAGCCATTATTCTAAAAGAAAATCCGGCATAATGTACGTGTCCCTACAGCCTGTGGCTACGTCTACACTGTACCACCGGGTAGTTTTCCCTAGCGACGTGAAAAACACCTATCCGTGCCTTTTAGGAACGCGATTTTTTCAGAGGAATTAATGCAACGGAGAGATGATGTTTCGTGCAGTGGTGTCAAGTAAGGAAGTAAATGTACTTCGTTACTGTACTTGAGTACTATTTTTGAGAAGTTAGCATGTAACAAAGTAAACTTTTTCTGGAGTACTTTTATTTGGAACGAAGTCATTTTAAGAAGTAACGTTTTACTCCGTTATTTTCATTTTGTGGCGAAGTATTTCGTTACTTTCTAACTTTTGTTGAATTTTACGTGATTTATTTCTGGTTTATTTTAATTTCGGGAAAGGTAATACGACCTCTACATGCGTCTGGGATCTCTCTATTTATTTAATGGATTTCTTATATCTTCAACGGGGTCTGGAAAGTAGACCATGCCGTGAAATATTGCATATTCGGTGCACGCATATAATGCGTGTGCTGTTTTGTGTCTTTTGTATGTCAATCCATTGGAGTAGTCCCCCCCCCCCCCCCCCCCCCCCCCCC